TAAAGATGCAACAAACAATCCAGCAGCAGACAAGGTGTACGGTTTATTGCCTCTTTGCAATAGCAATAATATCAATTTTTGTATACTGAGTGGTGCTATGTACCAACAAACATTGTACCTACGAAAGAAGTATTGAACTATGAATTCATGATTGAGAAAGATAAAAGAATTTACTAAGATTTGTATAAAATATTTTCTTCATAATTTAATTTCATCTTAAATTTATAGAACGGGGTCTCATATATCACGAGCACGATTATACAATATTGCTTACGTGCTGAGAAATACATTGTCATTGTGATCTGTAATTTCTTGACCTAAGTAATTAATAATGAACATGTATACAAGAATGGGAATTATGCACGCTAAATGCAAGAAGAATTCCTCGACCTTACCACCGAATGTAACAACCTGAAAAACCTGAAATGTCACGGTGATAAATTTTTTAGATATGTTTAATTATGTGTGGTGCGCTAAGGTGTTGAAATATGAGACGGAATAGTTATGAAAAAGACGAAACTCACTTGAAACATATTGAAGCTCAAACATATCACACCGAGTATTGCCGAGAAACATATTGTAAATTTAAACGCGGATGAAATGAACTCGCAAAAACTGAAACAATTGAGAAATATTAATATTAATTTATATTAATATCATATATATTTATTGTTATATAAATACCAACTTTAAGGTTTCCCGATGAATATCAATGGCGAAAAGAATGCCCTTATACATCGTGATTCGCTGGTTTATAAATTGACAACTCTGCTTAATCTTTTGTCGATTATCGGTCTGCATTGCTAGCCTAATACGGTAACTGTAAAAAATTCCATTATCCTAATTATATTTCTCTCTCTTTTTTTCTCCCACCCACTTCCTCTCTTTTTTTCTATATTTGCCCATCACTCTTTTCTGTAGATCAATTCTTCAGAGATATTAAGTAAGATGTTTAAAAAATCCAAACGTGTGTATTTATTTCTTTTTCATACCTGGCAATTTGCAACATTCCACAAGCATGTTTGAAACATATTACAAAAATCGTGCAAGTCCCCGCCGTCGATATCACACATATACAACAGGCTGCATACATATGCAGCATTATGAAATATAAATATTTTTCTTGGTCAACAAAATACTCAGTCGCAATCAACATTGTACGATAGGAAGTAGTGTCATTTATGAGAAAAAAACGGTCGAGGAGGTGCGGCCACATTGGGTGAACAAGAACAAGAAATATAATCCCAACTACTAAAAATATTTAAAAAGATTATTTTTTAAATCGATAGTTTACAAAATTCTGAAATACATAATTTTTGCATATATGGACTTTTTATTAACTCTTAAGTTATATTAAGAATCAATAAAGAGAGAATAATTAATTTATGAAATTAGCAAAAATATAATAAATAAATAAAAAATTAAAACTATAGAAATAAAGAAAATAAAATAAAAGAAAATTAATTTAGGTAATTAATTTATTTTTATTAAAATATATCTCAGTAATCTTTCATCTGATATCCTATAAAAACTTATCGAAATTTCAAAAGTATTTTGGTGCAAAGATGGTGTTAATCCCTCAATATTTGTCAAAAATTTTGCCTATTTTACTTGGCAGTGTGTATTAAAAAACATCAAACTTTATCTTACGTATAATTCTAGTTGAGTTACGTTCTGCGCTGGACGCGTATTTGTTAATAATAGAGATTTCGTTTTCATCTTTGAGGTAGTAACAAATATACTGAATTTTTTCCAGTAAATACTTTACCTGTTGTGTGAATAAAAATTAATATCGTTATTGTGAACTTTGGCAAGAAGTTATGTGTGCAAATTTAAACTTGGATATAACTATTGGATATAATTATTGAGCAGTTTATTGTAAAGGCGTAACTCACATTCGAGATATGAAACCAGAAGGAGCTATACATTAATAAGCAGACAATAAAAATTAACACTGATGAAAAAAGTTTAATCATGAAGTAAGGAGTGCATTCTGCAGTCACAACCGTTGTAAACTAAAAGTAATAAATTTTTTGTTAGAACGTAATAAGAAATTGCTGTATTTGTTTATCATTTGTTTATAATTTTGAATATGTATTCATTTTTTTTTATATAAGGACGTAATGAGAAGATTATAGTTATAATGCAATATTATTAGGAGTTTTAAAAAATATTTCGGAGTACATTACATATATAAGACGTCTCAGACTCTCATCCGCATTTTTTGTTAGAACGTAAAACGGACTGAGGTGAACACAAAAGTACCGCGTTGCAATAGTTGCAATAAATCTGGACATATTAATTAAAGAAGATTATTGAGTTATCACGCGCGATATGGTAGATAAGTATTTGTGACGTCACACAGTGGGGACAAATAGAAATTTACTGTTCAAAAATTGTTAGAGATCACAATTTTATAGCAATTGGGATGATTTTTTCTAAATTAAACATTAATCAATGCACAAAAGAACTGTCAAGCCGGAGTTTAAAAATAATTCTTGTAAATGTTGCAATTTTAATAAGAATTAAGTTCGTATTCAGGAACCTAAACCTAATATACTTTACAGTGCTACATATTTCGTGCTACAGAAACATTTTTTCATATCAGCTATGGGACAGATAGACAACTGTTAAATACCATGTCTTAATACTGCCTTTATACACAAAAGTGCCTTAACACAAAAGTACCCAAGGCTGCTGTTACTGCCTTTACATTTATGTTGGACGACCTTGTATACCCTATTGCAACTTGTATACTGGTTTAAAACATAATGATTTTGAAAATATTGACAGAAGTTATCCTGTCTCGGACAACGGAGTTTGTCAGGACTGTCAAATTCTGATTTTTATATCAGATTGGTAAACAGTGATACTGAAAACCTTAGTACACTGTACTGTGCAACGAAAAGATGGAATGTTTTTGAATTGAAGTTGCTCAAAAAACTTGATAATTTTTCATAAATTCTTATTAATATTGCAACATGTAGAAGAATTCTTTTAAAAATCGGGCTTGACAGTTTTTTTTATATTGATTAACGTTTAATTAAAAAAAAAATTCATTCCGATAGCTATAGAATTGTGGTCATTAGCGATTTTTTAACAGTAAATTTCTTTGTCCCCACTGCCTCGTCTGCTGTTGCATATTTTTACATTAAGTTAAACGGAAAAAAAATTCTTTATCATTGTACAAATAGATATCTACTGCGTACTTTTTAGTTATTAATGAAAGAAAATTGTTATATGATTGTGTACTATAATGTATAAATCTTCTCTAATTAATATCTTCAATTTTCTAATATCTTTAATTTTATACCATATATATATATATATATATATATATATAT